AATTCTTTAAGGTTGCACACTTTTAGTGCCATTGGCAGTCTTCTTCCTTTTTGACAAGAACTGCTTGTGGTGTGTCCAAGTTCTAATAAGTTAAAAAACCCTCAAGGATTTCGAGTTCTCTTAAGTTTCTTTCTACTTTCATTTCCTTTGAACTTAGATATGGCTAGATATATTTTATGTTTCAATTGTTGAAGGCCTTTTTCCTCTCGCTTTACTTTTCTTATTTTCCCTTTTCGGACTTTCAAGGTATTTATTTATTTATATCAAATGGCAGGCGTTTTGATGGTTATCATTAGCCCTTCAGTTGACTTCAGGCTTCATAGAGGGGAGAAGCATCAAAATGAAAAAAGTCGAGAGTGGGGGGGGGGAGGAACAGAAGAGCGTTTCAAAGATGTAGAAGAGTCAGGGACAAAGTTAGAGAAAAAGGTGAAATGAATACTGTGAAAGTGGCCGAATATGACATACAATGGGGTGAGGGTAGTTTGAAGTGAAAAGTCAACTGCCAGTCAATAGACTTTTTTGCCGTATGAGTATACATTGCCCAGGGCGCACCACGAGGAGATAAGTCTATCGCACACCCCACTTTCAAGGTAATTTATCGAATCAGGTGGCTGACACCTTTAGTTGAGTTAACGTAACCATTGAAGAAATGAACATCTTTAAGGAGAGGGGTGTGACTCGTCCCACCGGGGGATTCAAGGCCACCGACTAGTTTTCTTTTCTAGGGATCGAAGCTGGTCAGTGATTTGTCGATGTCTACGAGAAAGACGAATTCGGTCATAGACTCGTCTCCTTTCATGGAAGCTGAATTGTCATTCATTTTGCCCCCTCCCCCCAAATCTATAACTCCAAATAAGTACACGTTTCAATCATCAATGAATAAAGTTGATCTAGGAGAATTTTAAATAATTTATTGAACTGAGTTAAGCATCCCTTTGGATTAAAATAAAATCAAAATGTAGTCGAATATAAAATTTTAAAGTTGATAATCTTAGATTTGTTAACAGTAAATAAATAATCCTGGAGGGGGAGAGGGTGGGGGAATGAAATCATTTGTTTTAATACATCCTGGCTAAATTTAATTACGTGGAAATCAAAATTTATTGCCAAACTTCCTCTTGTTTCTAGATGTTGCACGACGAAATGGTGATGGGAGCAGTGCTGGTACACTGCACTGGCCAAACCGCCAGCTTTGCAGACTCTCTCCGAGACAAGGTTACTTACATTTCATTTTACCCAGATATATTTTGATATTTGTAATAATCAATTATAACGTTGATACAGTTAGATTTTGCCTTCAAACTGCTTTTTTAAGGAAGAAAGAAGACATAAGATCTCATAAGGACATAAATAATATTGGTTTCCATAAATCTTACTTCAACGCAACATTACTTTTGTCTATTGAAATATTTATTAGTTTCTCAAAACGAAAATTTCACTTTTACATTATTTAATTGTTCTCAGTTATAATCAATTAACTATTATTGGTAGGTTTTTCTAATTTAATTGATTTCCAATTTGATGATAAAGAATCTATATATATCTTTTCATCATGTGGTAATACTCAATAAATTACAAAGTGAAAGTTCACTTTTTAGAACGATGCGACCTAGAGAACACTAAGCTCTAAAATCGAAAGTTTAATTATCTTTCATGTTTGATGTTCTATCGGACTCTTTCTCTTCCTTCATCATATTGATTTTCGTAATGAAGATCCAAGTGACATGTTTTCATTTGGTTTCTGAACCATACTTTTGTTGTAGTACCCATCTAATAAATAAAGGAGTGTATCAGGCTATTATCAAACATTTTGACACTCTATGTACACTTTTCGGTGCAGAATTATTTGTGAGATTCACCATAATTTATTTGACTTCTTTCTCGACGAACGCCAGCTTAGGGTCTGCTAAAATTTACGTTATTCAATTTCGTGTGTGCAGATTTAGAGCAAATAGTCTTGGTTAAAGCAATTTCATTGACAAATTGACTCTTATTATTTTCCCTCTGGAGATATGCTAGTCGATTTAACTTTGGTCTTCTTGCGGCAACATACCTTCTGGAATTCTTTTAATAATTTTTTTTATAATTATGAAAAAAAATCATGGCATATGTGAACACGGTTTTAAATGAAGTGCTTATTATCTCTTTTTAGCTAATCAATTGGAAGCTGAAGACTACTGGCATGAACCCCGCAACAGAAAGCTTTCTTATTCTCCACAGATTTGGTTGTGTAAGCACTTTTTATGACTCATGAATTAATTTATTTTAATGTAATTAATATTTTTCTGGTTTGGTTTTTAAAATTAGAGGACTTGCCCTTAAGATTGGAACGTGTCTTAAAATGGTTTCCCCCTTCCTCATTTTATTGACATTTTTTAATAAAATAAGTATTGATACGTAATCAAATTTGATAACTTAAGATTTCACATTAATTTCAAAATTTCTTGTACTACATTTCTAAAATAATGTGTAAAAATACGTGAAATTAAACATGCCGACTTATATAGGAGGCTCATATTTATTTCTGCCTAAAATTAAAAATATTTGCTTCTAGTATTCTCAAGCAGTTCAGATAGAAGACATTAAATTTTATTCTAACTCTTAAATGTTTCAATATCACATAAAAATCCTATTAAATTGCACATATCTCATTCTGGGCTACGTGTAGGCTTAGCTCTCACAAGTCTTCGCATTTTCATTCGCCGTTTGTCCGGTGATCTGATTGGGTTAAATTTGACCTTAAAACCGAGCTTTTCTCTTCTCTCTATTTTCAAGGCAATGCACGATCTTCGATGTGGGGATAGATTGGGTACATTACATAACTTGTAAATGTACAACTCATTATTTCTAATTATTGATTTTCAATATTATGCAACGGTTTTATTGAGGCTGCTGTTTTTGTTAATGTGATAAAAATCAGTGACAACTAAATTATCGTAGAATAATATTAATTACTATTTCCTTCAGCAAATCCTCACCGCTAATTAACATTATTTTATACTCACTTTGGCAATACGTTCGATAGATTTTAAAGCATATTTAATAGCTTTGGTATGGTTCAGCGTACACTGTTGATACTTTCAGGTTTGTTCACTATTTTTCAAGTTCATTAATTCGAAAAGTTCTTCCATAGAGATGAATGAAATTGAATCAGAAATCGTTGGGTTACTGCTACATGTTATAAAAGTAGACTGATTTGATAAAAAATTGTAAGAAGGGTAGAAGGCAAATTAAGATGGGGTAGTGATATTGTCAGCGTAGAGGGAGTATTCCCAAATTGCATATTGTGATAGAAACTGACTTCAAAACAGGTTTATGTCCGGTTCAATGACGACGTATGTAGTTTGAATAGTTTACAGACAGAGTGGAAAATTTTTCTGACAGCCTATTACTAAATGTGCGACGCTTGAGGTCTTAGCAATGGGATTGGGCGCCTCTTGATCTAAACACATGGGCTTATTCTGATGTTTTCTCAGAAATTAGATGTTGTTTTCTTGGAAAATGTTCTTACCTCAGCCTTACTCTTTTCAACTTCAATAAGTCACTTACAGATTAAGAGGTCTGCACGCCAGGAGATACGCTACTCAGCTTACTAAAGAAACAATTGAAAGGCTTCACCATGGGCAACAACTAAAAAAATAAGGGTAAAGATAGATCCTTACGTGTAGAAACCATTACAAGCTGTTGAAGTAAATTTAGACCTTAATTTCAAATTTTTTCCAGCCTCCGTTCGCTAAATATTGTAATCAAGGTGCAAATTTGAGGGGGGGGGGGTGTGTGAATTGTAGCTAAGGGCTTCATAGAGGGGAGGAGGAACTTCAAAGTGAAAAAAGTCGATAGGGAGGAACGGAAGAGTGGTTTAAAGATGTAAAAGAGACAGACACAAAGGTAGACAAAAAGGTAGAATGAGTACTATGGAAGTGGTCGAAAATGACATACAGTGGGGTCATGGTAGTTTGAAGTCAGAAGTCAACTGCCAGTTAATAGACTGTTTTGCCGTATGAGTATACGTTGCCCAGGATTCCCCACGTGGAAGTAAGTCTATAGCACACCCCGTCGGTAGTGACATACATTTGACTTAATGCACCTCTGTTACCTTAACGGATTGATGGCAAGAGGTCATTAATCCGTGCAGTAACCTTACTTGCGTTAACCCCTCAATCCACTTTGCAACATTTTTCATAGCTTAGACCACCTTAAAACAATTTTATTTGCGCACACATTCATTTATAATCAGTAATTTTCAATTTCATGCTAACGCCCTAATTCTATTTTTTTATGAAATAGCTCACGGACACGGGAACAGAGTTGGAATTGAAGCAGGCGATTGAGCATTTCAGAGAGAATCTGCAGCACTCTATCAATGCAAAAAATCTCAATGGCTACATCACAGCCTATATGCAGTGAGTTATTGAACCTTCATATTGTACATTTTTAATTTGATGCTTGTGCTTTTACCGGCACAGTCTATATTTGCCATTTGCTGGTAATAATATGAAACAATATTATTATTATTTTATCAAATGGGAGGCGTTTTAATTGTTATCATTAGCTCTTTAGTTGACTTCAGTCTTCACAGAGGGGAAGGAACATCAAAGTGAAAAAAATTCAAGAGGGGGGTGGGGAACAGAAGAGTGTATCAAAGACGAAGGTAGATAAGGTGAAAAAAGGTGGGATGAGTACTGTGAAAGTAGTCGAATATGGCATACAGTGGGGTCATGGCAATTTGAAGTCAGAAGTCAACTGCTGTTTTATAGACTTGTTTGCCGTATGAGTATACGTTGTCCAGGGTGCACCAAGTGGAAGTTAGTCTATCGCACGCCCCATATGAAACAATATTGGGGAGGCTGTGTTACATTTAAGTCAGAAATGGGCATGTGTATAAGGGTAAGGCATTTAAATTCAATTCTGGCGCCAAGCTTTAGGAAATTTGAAAAGTGACTGACGGATTAAAATATTTACGCCTATAATTCCGTGGTATGTTGCTAGAATAGGGAAGTCAGCAAAATAGTGATTATTTAGCATTTAAAGTTAAGTCTTAAGTTTAAATTGACTCCTAGATGCAAACTATCGTTTATGTATACGTTAACTAGGATATACACCCTAATAGTCAAAATGTTACCCTCAACAAAGCAGCGGACCCAAAGATTCTAAATAAAATTCATGCTAAATGATCTTGAAAGTCGTAGGTATTAACAGCACGGTCTCATTTTAGGAATTTATGACCATCATTTGTAAATTAAAGGTGCTCCTTCTTATTACGTCAAAACGAATATAACTCCATATTTAGTGCGTTTTCTAGCTTATCCGAATTAGTATCATCGTAGGTGGTTAAGATTTGGAGAGATATACAAACAAATTTCCAGCCACACCATAGTTTACTGCTAATTTTTCTTGCGGACCGCAAATAAACCGTTTTATTAAACGAATGTTGTGGTGCACCCTGAGCAACGTTTATTCATAAGGCAAAAGTCTATTAACCGGCAGATGGCGTCTAACTTCTAACTTTCATGACCCCACTGTAGAAGTGGTCAACTATGGAAAATAGTCGGGCCATAGTAGTTTGAAGTCAGAAGTCAACTGCCGGTTTTGATAAACTTTTTTGCCATTGAAGTCAGAAGTCAACTGCCGGTTAATAGAATTTTTTTGCCGATAGTTTGAAGTCAACTGCCGGTTTGATAAACTTTTTTGCCATATAAGTATACGTTGCCCAGGGTGCACCACGTGGAGGTAAGTCAATTGCGCATCTCGCGATTGAAATATCTGTTTTTTGCTTTAACTTATGAATGAATAAAGAAAGATACAGCATAAAACAAAGATGATGTTATAAAATGTCCCTTGACACACGAACTAGTAACGAAGAAAAAAGGAAAACCTTTTACAACTTTTTTAAAACTGTTTTGCTTAAGATCAGTATGTCTGTTTTATGCTCATCATGCATCACCCAAACGTAGTCTTTTTGTAAAACTTTTTCACTGTTTTTTTTTCTAGACGAAAACCACTCAGTGAAAGACTTTCCGACCTCAAGTAAGTAGATCTGTAAATTTCTAGCCATTTTCCTTTTACACTTTACGCTCAATTTTGAGATAACTGCGCTATGACGTAATTCCAGAATCGTTTTAGAATCTTTTGCAATGTAATATCCAATGCAACTATTTCAATGATTTGCGGTTTTAATTTCCCAATTTTTCGTTTGATTAATTATTTTAAATGCCTTTCCCTTATTTAGTTATGGGAAAGTTTTTTCTGATTTTTTTTGCGTAAGTGACTGTTTGCCAATTAATCATAATTTTGAATCGTTTTTTTCATGGTAATGGGACTTTACCTGACTTTGACAAGGGAATAGGGGTAAATAATTTTCTGATTTTAGTAAAAAGTAGGAATTTTGACATATGTTTTGTTGACAGTACGATTTTTTTATAAATGACAAAAATTCTAAAGACAATTGAAAAAAAAGTTACATATCAACTTCCCTTTCCTAACCAGCGAATGTTGGTGAAGTCCATTAACATTTCTATTCAAGAAACTACCATGAATCAGAAAATTTTTTCTTTATTCTATATTATACTAAACTGGTCATCCTCTTTAAACCTTGCACGGCGTATTCAGACCTTTGTTTATATCATTGAGTTAGGTGTTTTCTTGCCGTCAGTAAACCGATGGTATCACTTGAATTTGCTAAGTGCCATGAAGAGAATCGAGCTATCCAGCATCTCTTCTTCCGTGTTCATAGTTATTTCGACAGGTTTATTATTGGTAAGCTCTCAGAGCTGATAATTGTGTTAACAAATGAGCAAGAAACGCCATCATTTCAGGTATAAAATTTGAAAGAATGTAAATCATTTCACATATATGGAAATCGACCTTCGCTGGCAATCGATAATTGCAAAAAAAGCTAAGAGTCCTTTTGGCCACGTTTCGTGAGATAGGGGGTTATCGGCAGCTATCATACCTCGATCACTCCTCGAAACAAGAAAATAAACAATGAACTGCGTAGGTCTTTCTCAAGCTAGCCATAACATAGACAGTGTATGGTGCACAAAGACTACCAACTGAAAATTCGAAATGATATAGTTTTATGAATTCTTAAAAGTGAAATTCTGCAATCAAGATGGAAAGTCATGCATGTATATTTTTTACTAGTAGATATAGTAAAACCAAATCTTTATTAATTACATTATTATTTCCCAAGTTAAAAAAAACTGGTAGTTTTAAATATACCATCATGTTTTGGTAATTATTGAAACAGGAGTGGGGCTTACATTTTTTGCCACAAATCTGTGTACTTTCTCAATATTTGGGTTTGTTTAGCTGCTGTTGTAACAAAATCGTTGGTGATACCACTTCGAAGCATTTGTGTCTACTTGCAAGCAGTGGTATGTAGACGAGCCCGGCAAATTCATTTTAAACATTACAATATTTGCTCTATTTGTTTAAACCACATGTTTGTGACGTAATCGGATAACTTGAAAATATATCTTTCATGGACACAATCATTGCAAATTGGAAGGAAATTAAAATGAAAAGCAACACTCATCCCGTTTGCACTACAACCGAATTAAATTCGCGCCAGCTAATTTTAATATCTACTCCAGCAAGAAAGGAGGTGGGCAGGCATGAAAAGAGCAATTTTATTGCCGAAACTGGCTTAGAACTCAGTGTTTACTGGCTGATGTGTTGGTTCAGATAAAAAGTAGCAATACAGGTACGGCTGGTATTAACTTAACATATTTATCTGATCAGAAGTAGTTAAGCTTTCAGCGACGTAACCATATATAGCAAAGCATAATCTGCATTTGAAATAAGTAGTTCAAATAGGCACTAAAGTCAGCTTACTTTTCTCGGATATCATTTAGAATCTCGAAATCGTCCAATTGATTTCGACAAATTTTCTGCTTCCAATTAAAAATGGAATAATGTGATTCAATTTATGACTAGATAAGTAACGATTTGAATTCACCAAAGTGGCAATTGCTGTATTTACAGCTGATTTTCAAATAGATAGCACTTTTATTAAATTGGTTTAAATTTATTATTTAGAATTTATTCTAGGTATCTCTTTCGTTCAACCGTCAATTTAAACTATTGATACAAAGAGTCAACTGCTCGTGCCGATTTAACTTATGTTTTTTTTCTCAATTTTCTACTGTGAACGAAATCTGTCTTTGTTTGCACCTTTTGACACCCTCGGCATTCTTCAGTAGCCCCAAAACTTTGCACATTTGACTTGCGGTAGTAAGCTTTAAATGGATAACTAGTTCACTGGTGGTGCATTGTTCCCCGTGAAATTCTGTCCCAACAGAAATCAGGAATTCGATGGCTATCGACGATTACCCAGTGAGTGGAACAGTCAGCTGCATTGGTTAAATTTGTCTAGCTACGAGGATGGCAAAAAATCAAGTTTCAGACGAGTTGAATAAAATCGCTATCCTAAATGGGCTTGTGAATTAGTACCATTACTACTACTGTCATTGTGCTAAACTCTCAGGCAATGCTTCAGCACAATATATTTTAGTCGAAACGCCGCCTTCTTTTTCTTTTCAATAGATGTTCGGTTTTATTAATAACCGGAGCTCTGGCGCCTCAACGCAAAGGCTGTGAGAAGCTCTACGAATCCCTCATGAAGATTCAAGGCGCTACATCGACCTGCGCTACGCGAGAGCTGGTAGTCGTGGAAAATGTCGCAAATGTGTTAGCTGAAAGGGTAAACTGAAACAATAAATCTATTTGACATTTCTTCTTTTAAATGGATTGTAAAATTTTTTGTTTTACACACTTCTAGCCCGACAAAGTTATAGAAAGTATGCAATATTTCCTCCAGGGCATCGGTTTGGGTAAGTTCGAAACAGAAATTTTAAATTCTTAAAATAATTTTCTAAAAACTTTTTAGATTTTTATGCACGAAATGCAGATTTCCGTTATCATATACAATGACTGGTCTATTTAAGTGCTACAAAAGATGAATGCTGGAATTTTTAGGCATTTATGGAAATTTTTTATCTTTATGTTATCGGACCTTACTGCTATTTTAGGAATTTCATAACACTAATTTGTTTATTCTTGTATTAGTTCCAATTAAACATAACATGACCTATCACTAATTCGTGGTTTATAAAATAAACATGCATGCCTCATTGTTTGTATTCATTAAACTGACTCATAAAGTTTGATTGGTCAGATTGAGAGCTGAATTTATTCAAATTTAAATATTTTGTAAAATGAAATTTCATTGAAAAATTGAGTATTTCTCCCTTCCTTTCGTTTCTTGATATTCCGATGGAACATATTTTACTTCTTTAATTATTTATTTTATTTAATTTTAATTAGCAAAATCGTAAACTGAATAAACAGAATGGAATTTTACTGGTGCTATTTCATTGAGCTTGGTAAACGCTTCACGTACTGAAATTAATTCACGCAAATGTGAAATTTTACACATTTAAGAAGGGAAACTAATTCCTTGTCATAGAGGTGAAAAGTCCAAAATCATTGCTTGGCAGTAATAATAAATGGCGTATATGTTTTAACCATCGTTTAGTCTACACTCTCTAATGGAGGTTGATCATATATTTTATCTTAACCCCTTTTCCTACAAATGTTTTTCATTTTCTATTTTATAAATAATGACCGTACTTAACTAACTTTTGCAGAACTAAGTCTAAAAGTTTTAACTCAAATATTATTACATACTAATTATCTTCTTACCACTTCAATGTTGAGGCTCGATCTTAGTATCATGGCGATTAATAATCAAAATCAGAAATCATCGAGCCATTCTTTACACTCACGACTTTAGATAATCAGTTAGTTGTATGTATTTTGTTTATTATTATGTATTATGTATTTATTTATTTTATTTTCAAGGGCTAGAGTTTACTTTCCCCGTTTTAAATGTTCATCTGAGTCTCTAAAATAGCTCAATTTTAACAAACTTACACGTTTACGTGACGGTACTTCCCTCGCATAAAAATTTGATAAAACTTAAGAGAGATATTTTATGCATATTTCCCCTTAATAGGAATCGACCTGACTTGTTTAGAACACAATAGGGATTGGCAGAGTTCACTCCTTTGCATATAAATTCCTTTACCAGTGTAACATTTTGTTATCATTTTAGTGAGTCACCTGAAGATGCAGACCACTCCACTGAACCTTAATAGAAGAATGTCCATGGAGGACTACGATAAGCCAATGGGACGTGTGCAGTTGGCTGGTGGTTTTCGTCCCAACCTAACAGCACCCAGTGACGTACCTGAAGAAAACAATAACTGAATAGATTCCTCGAAGTTCTCAGCATTTGGTAACAATAGCATCCCCATCTCCGACCGGAACTCATCAATTTTAACCACCAGCTTAATCGATTGTGCAATAACGTTTCATACTATTCTTAAAGTTACATATATTTGCAACAAGGACTATCACCTATCTATTTGAAGTAAAGACAGTTTGGCTTTCCACTTTCTCTTGCTCTAATCTATTTGAAGTTGTCTTTTCTCCTCTACTCTACTTTCTCTTGAAAGGCTCACCATCCTTTCTCCAATGTTGTAGTTGTCTACTAACTGTGCCACTTTTGTTTGAAAGTGCCTAGTAAAGACCATTTGAGTGCTTTTGTGGTTGGTTGTGGTCTTAACTGAACTTGGGCCTAAGCAACCAAGAAAATATAATAAAAATAGAAGTAGCCGTTTGTGGACAGGAAATCACAACAAAGTGATTAGCATTTTTTTTCCTCAAATACTTCTTGGTCGAACTTTTTACTTTTACAATAAATCAATCCTTAACAGTGTTTGAGTATCCTAGGAAAAAAGAGGAAATACCTATGGCTGAAAGCACAAAGTTGTTTATTAAACGAATTTGGTTGGGGAGAGAATGGAATACCTGGCAAATGAGAGAAATAAGAGCAGTCCGGCATAATCAAGTTTGAAAATTTCGTTTACAAGGTATAAAGCATTCGAGAGTTTTGCTTGAGTGCATCTAAAATTTTCATTTAATGGCATAAAACAACATCGCTACGTGATCAAAGAGAATGTCAATGACCCAGGCCATTTCACAAAAGGAGAGTTCTGCACGAAAGGAACAGAAAGGAATTTGTGATGATCTAGCAAATGTAGATAATGGCGGTTAGATCGAATCAAATGAGAATCGAATTTTCCACGATCCGCATTTGCTTGATTTCATAATTTAACATTTAACCTTAATTTATTAAACTGTTTGAGGAGCCTAAAGTAATTATTTCACCTCGTTCAACAAGAATCGAGCTCCTGATACTGTGGTAGGTCAGCACTTGATACCTATAAGTTTGTAATTCTTTGCTATGAGTAAAACACAACTTTGTAATAAACTGTTAAAAGGAAATATTCTAAACCAAATAACATTTGCATGTCACCGCCGAACTCTTAAATAACCTAGTTTCTCTGAATAAATTTTCTAGTAACACCTAATGATTCTGTAATTAAAATATTGACTTCATTCAAATGTCATCGCATTGAATCTGTTTCATCGGAGGAGGATAAATAAATCCTTAAGAGAAGAATACAAAGCAAACGTGAGGGACGTTCGTTTATCTTAAATATGCAATCTAAGTTGAAGGCCACTCCGATATCAAAGAAAAGGACAGCGGGGCACAATAGACCCGCTTTTGAAGGAGAAATAGAGGCCATTAGGATAGCACTAAGCCAATTATGTTGACTGAATACGAAATTTACCAAGGCAGTAATACTTCGGACTCATAGTCCGCAATAAACTCAGTTGGAAACAGAGAGCCACCCAAAACAGCTGAGATATACGAATGTAGAAAATTCTATCAGCTGCTGAGAGAGAAAAACAAAACAGTGGTCCTACAATGGATTCCTGGTCACTGTGGCATTAAAGGCAATGAGCTTACTGACACACTTGCTAAGAAGGGGACAACGATTTTGCAATGCATGGACCGGCCGATGTCTTTCCACACAATGAAGTCCTTAATCAGAAGAGAATTCCATACCTCAAGGCGCAACGAACTTAAAGCTCGAAC